CCCCCGCCCGGTCAGAATGAATTGAAATCACATCCAACAGAAAGAGGCTGATTTAGATGTATTGGAGTTCATCTTTGGCTGCAAACGGAAGAGGCTCCGGATCCCCAGGGACAGAGGAAAACATTTTAAAACTTGGTCCTCACTGCCTCACACTGACTGCCTTGCAGTGGGACTGTGTCAGCCCTTTGTAAGACCCTCCCCTCTGGAGCCGGCCTATTAAGCCTCTCCTCTGTTGCCAGGGTTGAGGCAGGCTGTCACCAGCTAGCCTGGGAAATGGTATTTATAGATCACAGTCCCTCCTACCCTTGGTCCCCAGCCTCTCCCCGAGCACTTGTCGGTGAGCTCCAATTATCTGTGAATGGAGGAGAGGGATTCTGGCAGGTCCAGAGGAAGCGAGGAATGTGATAATAGGCCCTTCACACACTCTAACTTTCAGTATTTTTCCATGATTTCAGTTTACTTCTCTTCTCGTGGCCTGTGTCCTTCTTCTTGCCGCATCGTTGTAATTTCACATTACGGTGCGCAGCACAAAGCGTGGCGGCTCTGGGGTTAGAGAGCGCAGAACGGGAACGTGGAGTGACTCTGTGGATCTCGCTCCTCAAGGGCCTCCAGCACAAGGCCTGCGAGAGAGTGAGGGCTCCGGAGTTGTAAGCTGCCCAGTCCCTTGGCCGGTTCCTAGTGCTTTGCACGGTGGAGCATCGCCACGTTTCCGAATATCCGTGATCACTACCCAGAGCCCCGGCTGGAGACGGAGAAAGTGTAGGACATCAGTCTGGGTGAGGCAGAGTCCTCATTACTGGAAGTTGCCTGTGTCAAGAAGAAACCCACAAAAACACTGGAATGAGCTTGTTTTTCTGGTGTTGCTTTTCTCCACAAAAGGAAGTATTGAAAAGCAGGAGACAGTTCGCGGAGCTTGGGAACAGGGGCTCCCACTAGTGACATTGCTCCCCATCTCGGACACCCAGTCCCTGCTTCTCAGCAGAGGCCGGATTGCCCTCGGGTGGCCCATCGAGTGTCCACGTTCCCTGAGCCCGTGAGTTAGGAGAAATGAAGGCTTGGCTGAGCTGCTGCATTTCTGCGCTGCCCACTCTGATTGCATTCCCTCCTCTTCTCCCTCTCCAGTCACCTGCTCCTGCCGCTGTCCCGTCCGCCCATCTAGGTCGGGCTCCACGGTCGCTCCTGTGGTCTCTAACACCGGGGCCGGTTCTCCTCTTGTCACCCTTCCTCGTGCTCCCCCTCCCTCCTCCTTGTTCCCTTTCCTCCTGCCCCGGGCCTCGCACCCCCTGCGCCCCTCCCCCCTGCACGCGGCCTCGCTCTGCGTCCTCTGGCTGTATCATTAATGCCTTCTTTGATACAGCCCACAACCTCATGATTATTCTGAGGTCAGGAGATGCAGGTGCCGCAGCTCGCTGATGCGCCTCAGAGGGCCTCTGTCCCCAGTCCCTCCTGCCCGACAGGGCTGGAATCCTAATTCGCCGCTAGCCCCTTAGCTTGTGGCAGCACCCCCAGGGACTTTCATCTTTTTCTTTCCCCCAACCAAAGATTCTGAGGGCTCAGCCACAATGAGGCATTGATTCAAGGAGTGGGGGCTGCAGTGCTGACAAAGGGGCCCAATGATGAGACACGAGAAAGGGGGCGCTCGACGGGGTTATAGAATGCCTCGCAGATGGGAACAGAGGAGCTCTAAATGGGGTACTGTCCTGTCACTTGGAGAGGGAGTGACAGGGGCAAGTGTGGGCCATTTGAAAGAGGCATTTTGGAATGACGCTCGCGTCAGATGGAACCGTGCAATCAGAGACGTGTGGCGGGCCCCTGCAGCTCACAAAAATATCAGATGACTCATAGCCAATATTCAGTCAATGTTCTGGTTGGGGAGGTGGGAGCCACAGGGCTCATTATGATTCCAGCTCCGTTTCCTGAAGGCTGGGCCTGCTTCTGTTCTCCAGGCTGTAATAGGATTGGGCTCGAGAAGCAGAGGCTGGGGAGGCCGGGAGCCGTGTGGGTGGACGGTGTCGAGAACGAATACTGCAGCCCGGAGGGGAGAGAAGAGACGGCGGGGCTTGTTGCTGTTGCTGTTGTTGTTGTTGTTTTAATGAAAAATACAAGGAAAATATTAATTTTGTGGTTCATTCATTCAGCAAGCATTCATTCATGCCGCAAAGAGAGAGAGAGCCGTGCTGGGGGCAAGCCACTCAGGGGAGGACGGGTCTCCCCCTCTCAGGCCTTCCAGCCCAGAGGGGAAACTGATGGGGGGGAGCAGGTGTCTCCTGGCCGTGTTGGGAGCGTTGCAAGGGAGGTTTCATCGCCAGAGGTGGGTGGTTCCGTGGATTTAAAAGGCAGAGCAGCTTCAAGGAGCACGCTAATTATTCCTCCATTTTCTCTCAGCTGATAAGCCACTTGTTCAAAGCAGAGCATTCTGGGAAGCCATGTCAACGCTGTCCATTTTCAAATATCCCATAGAACAAAATGGTTTCCCTCGAACTCCAGGGAGATAGTGACATCCTTGAGAGTGTCTCAATACCTTCAAAGGAATAGCTTAGTCTCTGGGATAAGAGTGCTTATTGTTATTACCTGTTTAATAATTGAGCTACGCCAGGCTCTGTGCTAAATGCTTTAAATATATCATCTCACGCAGTCCTCTCCCCGCTGCTGCCGAAGATGGGCTTTATCATGCTCATTTCAGATGCGGATACTGAGGCTCAGAGACGCGAAGTGACTAGTTCCCGGTTACAGGACTGAGCTTTGAACTTAGTTCTGCTTGGACCAGTGCACCTGCTCTTCAGGATCGGGCTCTCCTGCCCCCCTCGCGGCGCTTGGGCTCGGCGGGTGCGAGGGGTACGGTTGAGGGATTGCTGGCCTCCTGCCCCAGGCAGTACGATGCAAGAGGGCTTGTCTTGCCAGGTTCCTAAAACGGGGATCATAAGCCACTGCCATCGCCTCCATCACTGTCGTCATCAACACGTTGTGGCCTTAAGAGAGCCTTTCTTGACTCTTGCTTGACATGGGTTTAAAAAAAAAAAAAAAAAACAGCGATGAACCAGGAGACTTTTCCACTCACCCACTGTATGGCTTTGAGTCTTTCATCTCACCTCTGAGCTTCTCTTGCCATGTCCATAAAATGGAGCTGAGAGTCCCTCTGCGGGAATAATGGGAACTAACTTTCATCGAGTCCTTAATACCAAGCAGGTCTGGGGAGAAGCCTTCACAGAAAAATTCATGCAATCCTCACCACAGCCCTGTGTGGTAGTGACAATTAGGAAGGTGGACAAAAAGAAATGCCGGGCGCTGCCTCAGCTCCTAGGTTGGAGGAGCCAGGACTTGAAGCAATCTCCGACTGACCTCAGGTCCCAAGCTATTTTCGGGGTGTTGTTGTGAGGCTCCAGTGAGAAAACGGGAGCAGATGTGCCCCGGGCAGGGTAAAAAGTGCCAGACACATGTGAGGGATTCTTCGTAGCATGGAAGACGGCCAAGAGATGACTCACACAGAAATGAGGAAAGATGAGAGGCTACTAAGCTGACTGCCTTCTGTATTTTTACCTGTTCTTCTGCTGCTTCTTATCTGATCTAGCATCTATCTTCACTGGAATGTTTCGGTGGCTGGAACCACGGGGGCAGGCTTGGGTAGCGTTTATAAAAGTGTTGGGGGGGGTGGGGACCTAGAGGTCCATGTTGTGAGGCAAGTTCCACTGAATTGAGAGTGTGGAGCCCGGGAGAAGATGGGGGCGATAACATCTTTCTTACATGTGAAGATCATGTAAGATCTTCAGTATGGAAGCACTAGGTGATCTCTAGAGTAATATAAACTATCATTTGTTTTTGTTCAAAGTTGGAGGTTATTATAACCTCGTGGGAGGAATCTGGGAAGAGGGCTGAAACGTGATGCAGGTTAAACATATGAACCCCTAAGTTCTTCTCCGTGGCTGATTTCCAGAGTCTGCTGCAATCTGGCAGGGGTGTTTTGTTTGGACGCTCTAATTTCCTGGGATCAAACTCCTTTGGGGCTACTGTATAATGGAATCCTGGAGCTGGAAGGACCCCAGGGAACTTACTCCAACCCCTTCCCTTTACAGGTGTGGGCACTGAATGCTAGAAGGGTATGCAGTGTCCTATAGCTGGTCTGTGGCATGACAAGGAACGACAGTGTAGTTCTTTTCACTTCTATTCGGTGCCCTAACTGTCGGAGCTGTCCTACCCAGTCCTTTCAGCCCCTGGGCAGCTGCACTTTGCATGACGGGTTGGGTCGCCCTAAGCAGCCCAGCCCTGCTGGCTAACAGTGTCCGTTCTCCTTCTCTCCCCAGGACAATTCAGCAGTGGCTTGCAAGGGTCCAGTCGCTTCTCTACTGCAATGAGAACGGGTTTTGGGGAACCTTCCTGGAGAGCCAGAGGAGCTGTGTGTGCCACAGTAGCACCACGCTGTGCCAGCGCCCCATCCCCTGCATCATAGGGGGGAACAACAGCTGCGCCATGTGCAGCCTGGCCAACATCTCGCTCTGCGGCTCCTGCAACAAGGGCTACAAGCTGTACCGAGGCCGCTGCGAACCACAGAACGTGGACTCGGAGCGGAGTGAGCAGTTCATCAGCTTCGAGACCGACCTGGACTTCCAGGACCTGGAGCTCAAGTACCTGTTGCAGAAGATGGACTCGCGCCTCTACGTCCACACCACCTTCATCAGCAACGAGATCCGCCTCGACACCTTCTTTGATCCCCGGTGGCGCAAGCGCATGTCCCTCACACTCAAGAGCAACAAGAACCGCATGGACTTCATCCACATGGTGATCGGCATGTCCATGCGCATCTGCCAGATGCGCAACAGCAGCCTGGACCCCATGTTCTTTGTCTATGTCAACCCCTTCAGCGGGAGCCACTCGGAGGGCTGGAACATGCCCTTCGGGGAGTTTGGCTACCCGCGTTGGGAGAAGATTCGTCTCCAAAACAGCCAGTGCTACAACTGGACTCTCTTGCTGGGCAATCGGTGGAAAACGTTTTTCGAGACGGTCCACATCTACCTACGTAGTCGGACTCGGCTACCTACCCTACTGCGTAACGAGACTGGCCAGGGCCCCGTGGACCTGTCCGACCCCTCCAAGAGGCAGTTCTACATCAAGATCTCGGATGTGCAGGTGTTCGGGTACAGTCTGCGGTTCAACGCCGACCTCCTCCGCAGCGCCGTGCAGCAGGTCAACCAGTCCTACACACAAGGTGGCCAGTTCTATTCCTCTTCGTCCGTGATGCTCCTCTTGTTGGATATTCGGGACCGAATTAATCGCCTGGCCCCTCCTGTGGCCCCGGGGAAGCCCCAGCTGGACTTGTTCTCCTGTATGCTCAAGCACCGCCTGAAACTGACCAACAGCGAGATCATCCGGGTGAACCACGCCTTGGACCTCTACAACACCGAGATCCTCAAACAGTCGGACCAGATGACAGCCAAACTCTGTTAACCTGGGGCTCCTCGCCATGGGCTTTCCCTTTTGTTGTACAAACATAACAGAACAAAGCAAAGCAAAGCAAAACAAAACAAAACACAAATTTGTAAAATGTAATTAATACTCAAAGAAAAGGAGGAAGAGTCTTCATTCGTTGGAAACGAAAACGTTCTAGCAACTGTATAAAACCGTTGGGCATGTTTGTTATCTCTATAATCTGTCATGAAGAAGGGTCTCAGCCTTTGGAGGAGCTTGGAGGGGTTGCTTCCTAGGCCTCAGGTGCTGTATTGTGGGGGGAGAAGGGGAGAGCATATGCAATGAATTGCCAAGATCTCTGCTGTGCAGGTGCTAAGATTAAACACTAAAAAGAAAGAGAGATGTATGTAATGTACAACCAACACTGCCATTTTTCCTTGTGGGAGGAAATGGACATAGATAAAGTTATTTCTTGGGTTATGATTTCTTCCCTCTTTATGCCTAATTCCTTGTGGTTCTTTTGACTCATTCTTGCACAGGGGCGGGGATGCGATTACCGTGCTATCTTACCCATTCTGAATGCACCGAAGCTAGTTGAAGCTGGACAGTAGGGGGGCTTGCGGGGGAGAAACAGATACATCACAGGGTGTTAAAACAATAAGAACCCTGGGTGCCTGGGTGGCTCAGGTGGTTAAGCATCTGCCTTCGGCTCGGGTCATGATCCCAGGGTCCTGGGATCGAGTCCCGCATCGGGCTCCCTGCTAGGTGGGGAGCCTCCTTCTCCCTCTGCCTCTGCCTCTCTCTCTCTCTCTCTGACTCTCATGAATAAATAAATAAAACATTTAAAAAAAAAAAACAATAAGGACCCTCGGATATCAGCTGTCACACTCGATTTAGTTTGTGAAATAAGCATGGAGAGAAAATGGCATGCCCATGGCCACACATAGTTACTGCCTGAATAAGGATTTGAACTCTGCCTTCTGACCCAAGAGGCAGCACTCCTTCTTCTAAATCACAGTGGCCATTTTGTGGTTTCTCCTCCAGCTACACTGCCAAGGGATGAAATATTTTTCAGTCTCAGGTTGTTTTGATAGCTTTTTCTCTTTTAATTGAAAAACCCCTTTCTCCTACTTTCTCCAAAAAGAAATGGTCTCAGATTTCCTAAAAGTGCTTTGCATATTATAATTCTGTTTAAATAAAAATCATTAACCACAATAAACTAAAATGGGGTAAGTTCTAACATTGCATTGCTCTGCCAGGCAGACTTCCACAGGTAAGTGTGGGAAAAAATGATCCTTTGATTAACTCAGAACACGCACACGCACACACATGCACGCACACACTAAAATTATAACACTGCCATTGGCATCTATGAAGGTGAGAGGCCTTGTTTTGGGACTTGGTAGTTAAATTGAAAGGAGAAACTCAAGAAAGAAAACTCTTTTCAGAGCACTCTTATAGAGGACTTGGGCAGATACCACTTCTTAGTCTTCAGGATCTCTACGTTTATCTTTTTGGTGAGGTGGTACTTGCTAGAGGTGTTTCTGAACATCCAAATCTTCATTTCTGTACTGTCAGAGAAACAGGATTACAAATTTCAGGGTCAGAAGAGAAAATGGAATTCCTCTGGTCTAAACTTATGCCCAGTGCAAATCTCCTTCTCACCATCTTAGGGAGATCACCACTGTTTACCGGCTCGACTGTTCCAGCGACAGGAAGCTAATTAGCTCTATCTTCCATGTTCCTTGAATTCCTCTTTTGCTGAAAGGGAACAATAATGTTCATTCCATTTTGTGTTATAAAACAGATCTGGTTATTAGATAGTTCTCCTATACCTTGGCCAGCTTTTACATACCTTCCACTTACTGGTCCCAGTTCTGGAATGTGCATTTCTCTCTCAAGTTAATGCCATCCTGGGTACAATACAAAGACCCATCTCAGGAGTCGCCAGAGTCTGTGATAATATGACTCAAAGAGAACACCATCCCTAATCTAGTTTAGAAGTAGAGAAGTAAAGAATTACCTAGTGTGTGTTTATGGATGTGTGCATGTGTTGGGGGTGAGGTGGAAGAATAAGTCTTTTTTTTTTTTTCTTCTGTAGTGGTAAATTCCAACTTTAATGTTCCAATTTTTAGCATGAATTAGCATATATTCTGATACGGACTTTAACACTAACTTGCATTTCACATGAACATAGTTTTTTGGACCTCAGCTTTTGAGGATCCAGTGTTCATTTAGACTGGAAATCCGTTCATGCCAGAGATCACATAGCAGCTATTCATCAAGCACAAGATTTTGCAGAAGGTCAGCAAATCATCAAACATCTCTTCAATGCCTATTAGATGAATGGGGTATGTCAGAGAAACAAAAATTTGTAAGGATTTTGTGCCACTCACAAATTAATGAAAATACAGACATATGAACCAAATTGAAAAAATAAACAATAATTACAGTACACCATGATGAGTGCTATCATGGGGTCAGGCACACAGAGAGGAGCCCTGGAGAGGTTATTTTCTCTGTTAATGGGGTTGGCCAAAGCTTTATACGGGCAGTTTATTCTGAGTGTTGAAGTGAATCAGAGTTGGGCAAATAGCAAGAAGCAGAAGGGCCAAAGGAATAGAAAATGCAAAACCGCAAAGGTATAAATGTGCATGGTATATTTGAGGGTCAGTTAAAGCTTTAAAATTGTGACTTTAAATGGGAAGCCTACCAAGGGCAGTGAGGATTTTAACTCTGTAGGAGAAGTTGAAATAATTACCCATGATCTTCATGACCTGCTAAATGAATTTAAGACTAACCACCTCTCAGTGGCCTCTCTTCCTTTTTTCCTTTCATCTCTACCTTTTCTAAGCACTTCAAAGTCTCATGCTATATGAACCCCTATGCTCACATTTTACAGATCGCCAGGCAATCTTCAGAGGCATTGTGCTACCTAATCCTTATCACAATTCAGTTAGGGCCTTCCACCTGAGTTCTTTCCCAGACTTCACCAGTTGTATGTGCAGGAAAATCCTCTTCCCTTCACCTTGAAAATACTAACTGCATCACTTCATATTACAAAGAGAATACAGCAATGTCCAATGATTGGAAAGGTCAGGGAAATAGAGAAATTTTCAAGGAGAGAAAGATTCAGACATCAAAATGTTTATTCGAAGGCAAAAGAAAAATATTTTGCTATATAAAAGGACACAAAGTTCTGTGGATTTTCCAATGTCTCCTGCTTGGGTCTGGCCTTTGAGCTAACAAGGTTCCTCTCCAGCTGGGAGGAAGAGAAGCCTGAAGCCTTCAAGTGAGATTTTAATTCAATTAGTGTCTTACCAATTTGATGCAGCAACCAAGGACCTATGGTGTCTGATTAATATGCTGATGCTAAGGCAAAAGAATGAACAGAATGCCCATTTGGATAAGGCCTGGCAGCAAAGCGTGGCATTGCCATGGAAACTGCAGAAAGCCATTAATTAGCTATCATATAAAATCATTGGAAAATTCTGGACCCTGCCATATCTGCCCCCTTCAAAGAGGAGGGCAAGAAGAGGTCATTCTAACAGCAAGGTTCCCTTCAATGATTAAAATCATAGTTGCAAAGAGACTGCATGTTACAAAGTGGAAGGAAGATTGGGAAGTAAAACAAATGGACACAATGAAAGAAAAGAAAATTTGGGATTATTCAAATCCAAGAATATAATTTTAAATGTAAAAGTATCTTGTTGGGTTTCCTCTGCTGATAAAGTTATCTCGATGACAAACATTTTCTCCTAGTTTCTGTTCTGTGGAAAGAAAGTGAGAACAATATGGATCCACTACATGCTGATAAGTGATCGGGGAAGGGATCATAGAGTCAGAGGGTATGGAGTGATTAACCCATAAAATAATAGATACAGATGGTATAAAGTTCAAATTTTAAAAAATTAAAATTAAAAAACTAAATTAAAAAGAAGGCAGAAAAGGAGAAAAAGAATCATTAAAATACCTGGACACATAGACATAATAACAAAACTTACTATACAGATAATCACAATAAATGTAATTGGATAAAACTGGTGAGTAGAAAGACAGAGGTGGTCAAACTACACATTATAAGTTAAAAAAAGTAAAGGGAAAGAAGGTTTTAAAATTAAAGGATAAAAATATGCTAGACAAATATTAACTAAAAAGAAGCTGATGCAGCCGTGTTAATAACAGTCAAAAAGACTTTAAGGCAAAATACATTATTAGTGTTGAAGAAGGTCAGTTTAGCAAAGAAAGTGAGACAAGAGTGGACACATAGAACCATAGACTCTGAATGCTAAAGGGATCATTAAAGAACTGTAAAATTTCAACCTTTAGAGATGAGGAATTATACCCAAAGTTATTCTACAAGTTTTCAACAATAACCATGATTCCAGTTCCCTCTCCATTTGCACTAAAGGAAAGGTTGTCTAGAACAATCTCTATCCAAGATAAGAATCAAGAATTAGTCCCATGACATTTAAACTAATAGGATATACAAACTCACACATATGTTCTTTTTTGATAGATATACACATATATGTTATATCTATAATACATAGTATATATATTATAATATACTATTATATTACATTATAATATATATTTTTTCTTAAGTCACCAGCATCTTATATATGGGATCAACTCAAATTGAGGATCAACTCAAATCCATGGATGGTTACAAGGAGCTCAGGTTGAGTGCGGATCACTCTCTTCCTGGAAACTGAGTGTTAGTGGTTTCAGCCCTGTCAACCCTAAGAACCTAGAAGGAACTCTCCTTTCTCAATACCCCTTCTCTCTCCAAATCATTATTAGGGCCTGCAGTTACAAATAAGGTCACTCCTTGATTTTCAATATCAGATCTAATTGTAAGCATTCTGAATCAAGGCATATGGTACATTTTCTGTCTACTTCAGTTCAGAATCTTCCTTCCTTCTCAACAGATTCACAAATCAAGATGAATGGCGGGAATAGAATGGCATAGATTTGAATTAATGGGCAGGAAATCACCTTAAAAGTCACAGAGTTAATTGGGGGGGCGATAACAGATATCTGAGAAATGTGAAAGCTCTGAGCTCTTTCCCAATAAAAAAGTACCATCAAATACACTTTTGAATAATGTTTCATAGATCCCTTGATGATCTTTCTTAGATATTCTGGAAGACTGCAAACCTTCAGTAAGTACCTTGGATCTAGGCTAAACTTTCTATTTTACAAAATTTAAGCTTCAGCTTTCGGAGATGAGGAGTCATACCCAAAGTGATTCTACAAGTTTGGAACACTTAGCATGAGTTTAGTTCCCTTTTCACTATTGCAAGTGTATGTTGGCCTAGGGTCACATATCAAGTTAATGTAGCTCATACAGCAGAATCCTGCCCTCAAGGAAGGCAGTTGTGATTTTTTATTTTATTTTATTTATTTGTCAGAGAGAGAGAGAGAGAACCCAAGCAGGGGGAGCGGCAGGCAGAGGGAGAAGCAGGCTCCCCCCCGAGTAA